GCTCCTCTGTAGGAGGCTGTCCAGCAGTGGTACCAGCATTATGCTCAGGCACATCACTCTGCCCAGGCCAGGGTGGATGGCTTGGAAGATGATGCCCCTGAGGTGAGAAATAATTGAATTTTCTTGCTGTCTCCACTGGCTGTTGCTCCCATCAGCTTTTGGACACCTGCTTTGTGTGTTGGCACAGGAATGGGGGGCTGGAGAAGGCACTGCATGGGCACTGCTGCAGGGCAGCCCTGCACCCCCAGAGTCACACCCAAAATACCCCTCTCTCAAAGCCCACATCCAAAACCACCTGGAATGCTCAGCAGTGCATTAAATTCCCCCACCAGGAAGCAGCACACCATTAATGGCATTTCCCAGTGCTGAATTTCCCAGCATTGAAGGGCTGTTTCTTGCCCAAGCTGAGGTTTTTGTGAGCAAGGAGAAAAGACACTGTTAAAAGGAATTACACAAAGCAAAGCATCATCTAAATCCCACATTTTGCTCCAGGAATTGCTGCACACCCGAGCTGCTGTGAATTGCACCTCTTGTGACTCAGGTATTTCCATACCTGCTGAGAGCTCATCACAACAGCAAAAAAAAAAAAAAATTATTAAACCTTTTTTCCTTCTGCTTCATGGATCCCCTTCTGGATTCAGGAATCTGCAGGTGGATCTTTCCCAAACTACAGCACCTGCCTGCAGGTGGTGCCTTCCTTTGTGAGCGGAGCCCAGGGATCGCAGCCGGGCTTGCAGCCTCCTCCAGCAAATCCCTTAAAGCAGGTGAGAGGAGGAGGAGCGGTGCCTGCAGGCGCTTCTCCTGCCTGCTGCTGCCCCCGGGTGGAACTTTCCCTCTGCATCCCTGCTCCACACAATTCCTGCAACGTGAGAGCAGGTTGGGCCAGCTCCATGGCCCTGCAGAGCCCTCCAGGCCCCGGGGATCAGCTCCTCTCAGTGCCCCAAAAGCCATGGGCAGAGCCAGGGTTTTTGGGAGCTTCTTGGAGAGATAAGGGTGTGCAAAAATGCCTGGAAGGAGGCAAATAAAGCAGGAAGGGAGGAGGAGGTTGACACTGGATTTCAAAGAGTGTTTGCCTGGCTTGCCGATGGTTTGCACTGGGATAGAATCTCTGAAGTAGAGAGAACAGCTCAGAATTTCGTGGAAAACAAGTTAAAAGAACACAGGATAAATCTAAACATTTTTACCTGCCTAATTTGTAGAATACACAAATTTTTTTGTGTGTTTCTAGAACAGTTTTTGGAGTATCTGCAGGTGCACCTGGTCTGGGGCAGCATCCAGGTTACCAACAGCCCCTTCACTGGATCCTGGGGGATAAAACTTTTATTGGAATGTATTCCAATCAAATTTATTGGGAAATAATTTATTACCATTTATTACCAAAAATTCTTGAAATACTGGCTTTTATTTGGAATTACAGTAGGTGTCAGCTGCATCCTGCTTCAGCCAGGCTCACTGAGCAAAGCTTCCTTTGCTGCTGCTCCAGTGGACACTGAGTTCTTCCCAGGAAATGGTGCTTTGGAAGCAGTGAGGGTCAGTTCATGGAGTGTGGTGAGGATTTAGAGCTCCTGAGGAATTCTGTCCCTGTGCTGTAGGTAAATCCCATTGCTCCTGGGTTTGTGGATGGTTTATGGAGAGTGAGGGGCCTGGCCCTTGCATCACAGCATTCAATGCTGTGGCTTCAGTCCTGGCATTAGCCTGGCCATCAGGTTGCTGTTTTGTGGAGGTTTTGGAGGCATTTCTTTTAACTCCAGCAGTTCCTGACTCCTGGGGTAGAGCTGGCTCTGACATGGTTTGGGGTAGAGATGGACAAAGTGTGGCCATGGGCTGGGACATGAAAAAATTGAGTTTGCAGATTCCCCAGGGCTCTGACATGGCTGGAATGGCAGCAGAAGGAGAGAGTGGGGTTCGAGCCAAGCAGCACCTCCCAGTTCATCTCAGAGAGGTTCCTGGGTGGTGCAGAGCAGCTCCTGGGATGGTGCTGTTAATGCCAGGGGCCATAAAAGGCAGGAGGAGCAGGGTCAGTGCCTTGGCACAGGCACAGCAGCACAGTTTGCCTCCAGACTGCTGGAATTGCAGCTGAATCTCAGTGAAGAGGCTGCTCCCCAGGAGGCTCTGGCAGTTCAGCGTGTGCTTGTGTGGCTGTGCTTGCAGGGGCCCTGCAGCTCGTTTGAATCCTCCTTTTTGGGCTTTTTTTGATGCTGCTGTTTCAGAGGCTCAGGAGGAGCAGGGCTGGGGGTTTGTGTGAAGCATCAGTGAGCCAGGACCTGGTGGAGGGACACAGGACGTGGGTGACATCCCCGTGGCTGTCAGAGAACTGAAGTGTTTCCTCAAACAATTCTGTGTTTGTGATGAAGGTGCCCCCAGGATGAAACTGGCCTGAGCAGGAGCAGTTTGAGTTGTGAATGTGAGCAGCACAGGGTGCTTGGAGAGCTGCTGGGAAAGGTTTTTCCAAAGGGAAGGGGAGCCCAGGGAGCCCTTGGAGCAGCTGTGCCCTCACAGGAGCCCCGCTCTGCGCCCCTCAGGGCTGAGCGAGAGGTCGGGGTTTTGAAATTCCAATTAAAGATCCATTGCTGCTGCATCCATCTCTCACTCCTGGGGAAAAGCAGGGCCTGAGATCCTGCCCAGACCTGCTCTGGCACAGCTGGAAAATTCATCTTTCACCCCTGCCTTGGGGTGGGGGCTGGGCCAGGGCTGTTGAACCCCTTCAGCTCTCCAGGAGCAGTGAAAGGAGCCTCATCCTAAAGGCTGGAGATGTCTGGATCAGCTGCAGGCATCACCAAGGCCATGGTCCCATGGGTTTTATGCAGTGCTGTGGAATGAGGCTGCCTGGCCCAGGCACCACAGGTGTGCTGGGTCTGACCCTTTTATCAGCAGGGTTTTTAGGGAAAGGGCACAAAGCCTGGGCCTCAGAGGTGAAGGAGCCAGGTCTTTGGCATCACTTCACTGGGAATGACCAGCCTGGAGTGCTCCTCAGGGGCTGTGGCTCCAGTGCCACTTGTCCTGTCTTGTTGGAACCCAAATTATTGAGGATTTCAGACTTTCTGTGCTGCCAGGCACTGACCCCCAGGAGAACACTGCATTGACCTGAGGCTGTGGAGGAGGATTCCAGAATGGAATGACAGAACTGGGATGGTGGGTGTGGAGATTGAATAGAAGTGTGTAATACCACATAGTAGAATATAGTTACATATATAAAGCAAGACAGAAGTTTTAGGGCAAAAACTTCTTCATAAGTTTAAATAGTATTGTGTTTTTAGATAAAAAATCCACATTGCAAGCCACAAATAATTATTAAGTTTAAAATAATTTACATATTTCTTAATTAGACAAATTAAGCCTTAAAAAAACCTTCTAAAGAAAACATCCAACTCCATTTTCAGTTCATTAAGTACTAAGAGACTCACAGCTTGTAAAGCTATAACATAAATACAATAACGGTCCAAGTCCCTCCCCAGGCGGCTGTCCCGCAGAGCGGGGCTCAGCGCTGTGTCCCGCCCGCAGGTGGCCCCGAAGCGCGGCTCCTCGTACCTCGCGGCCGAGCCCGGCCCCGCCGAGCTCCCGGCTCGCTACTCCGAGTCCTCGCTCAAGAAGAAGCGCGTGTTCTGAGGCGCGGGCGGATCCCCCCGGGCGGGCAGCTGGGAATCGCTCTGCATTTATTGCTGCCTTAACTTGGACAAGGAGCTCCTGCCCTGAGGGTGAGTCCCGAGAGGAGCCGGCTCTGTCCCGGCGCAGCCAAGGACGAGTGACGGAGGCGGTGGCTGCTCTCGCTTGGAGAGGAGGGGACGGTTTTGGCTTTGTCACCCGTGGGACAGAGCACGGGGACTTGGGGAGCTGGGGCAGCTCCAGCTGAAAGCAATAAAAACCCAGAGGAAAGAAAGCTGATCCTTTCTCCGCTCCTCAGCTGAGGAAGTTAAAAGGAAGTCTTGATGGTAATTATTTTGTATTTTTTTAACTCAGAAGAATGTGGGGTTTTTTTTTCCAACTTTCCTTTTTCCAGGATTAAGAGCTCTGCATTTACAGCCTTTCAATTTTTAATATTTCTTCTTAATCCTGGAATGGAGCGATACCAAATGGATTCCCAGAGCCTCCCAGGTGATGTTCTCAATAAATGCCTGTTCAAAGGGAGATGCTGTCCTGTGCTGCCCTGGAGAATTCCCTGGGATTTGGAGAGCTGCTCCTTGGCCAGTGGAATAACTTTGTTCTTAGGCTGAGCATCCACAGCTTTCCCATGGAGGAAGTCATTCCCAGTGTGAGCAGCATCCTCCTTCCACAGGTGTGGGACAGCTCTTCCTGGGCCACCCCACATTGTTCCCCACTTTTGAGTGTATTTTTTTTTTTGAAAGACTTTTTGTATTTTTAGCTACTATCAGCACTGCCTCGAGTTGTTCTCTTCTGCCCTTGGAGCTGGAGATCAGCAGTCCTTCCTTTTGCCATCAGTGACAGGTCCATGAGGAGCCAGCCCTCATTCCAAGGCTTTGCCCCCTTGGAATCCTGCTGCAAATCCCTTTGGATGGAGTTCACTGAGGCCAGGAGCCGCCTCCTTCTCCCTTTTCTTTGCTAGAGAACACTGAAGCCATTTTTCAATACCGATTTTTTAAAATTAAAAGTCTTAAACTTTTGCCTTTCAAGCTTTGGGATGTGACCAGGATCCACATTTTCAAAGCTTAAAAAAAATCCCAATCAAAATCCCTCTTCCCTCAGCTGCTGGAACTGCTCCACAAACAGGAGCCAGGAGCTTGTCTGGGATTCTGCCTGTATGTATTGATAAATTCACTTGTAATATTTTGTTTCAACTGTTTGTATATGCAACTTTCTCAACTTGTTACACTTTTCAATGAAAATAAATTGTTGGTACTTATTTCAAGTGAATTTTTTGTGTCAGGAAAACAGCCCTGGACTCCTTTAATCAGGTAAGGTAGGAAAAGGTTTAAAAGCACACCATTCCTATGGAAATTCAGTTTTAAAACTTTGTTTAATTGATGATGAAAAAGGGAGGCACATGGAGAAAAAAAAATTTATTAGACTTGTTTGTATAAAGAGTAACAAAGTGCTTACAGATTAAATTCAGCTTCCTAAGTGACATACAGAAACAATAACACTGTAAAAATAAATCTGACCTCCTTGGAGCTCATAATTACCACTTTTTATATATATTTATATATATATATATATATAGACCTCTTTCTATTATTGCCAACACTTGAGGATCTCTTCAGAGCTTTTTCCAACTCCAGGTGTGGTAGGAAAAATGATGGCAGCAGAAGGTTCCAGTCAAAATGTTCTTTAAAAAAATGGTTGGTGGGGTTCCCAGTCCCTGGCCACCCCTGGGTGCTCAGGCCTTTTCCTTTTGGATGCTCCTCTCCAGGTTCTGGGCATGGACTGGGCTCCTTCCCTGCACATCCCTCAGCACCAGGGGTGCACATTCACCCCTCCAGGGGTGCCCCCAGGCTGGGAGCTCCGGGGGAAGAGTGTGGGTGTGCAGTTAGGAAAAGCAGATTATTTATCCCAAAATTGGGCTCCTCACTGAAATGCACAGCTGTGCCCACCCCTCTGCACTCCTGGGTGGTAGCTTTGAACACTTTTTTTTTAATACCTGTAAGAGCTCAGGACTGGGGCCTGCTGGGTTTAAAAAGAGCTGAACATTTTGCTTCCCGTTTATTTTTATGCCAAAGTTGTTTTGTTTGCTACCAGGATTTAAGTGCATGTGAAGGATATTTTGTCAGACGACTTTGAAATTATTAATTGAGCTCTCCTACAGCCACTGGCTGAGGTCTGAGCTGAGAAATGCAGTGGATTTTCCCAGCTCACATCATCCATCAGGGCAATTGCACTTGTGGCACAACCAGAAGCAGAGCAGGACAAAACTGCCCTGCAGGAACAGCAGCCAAGGGAGCTGGAGCTCACTTTGCCCAAACCTTTTAAATTCTTTTAATCCAACTCTTCAGTCTGTTGGGAGAATCCTTTATAACCACATCAGCCCAGCCAGAGTACAAATTACAGGAGTAAAAAAAAAAAGAATAGCCTTGGGCATAGATAGTTTGCTGGGCATTTAAAGTCCTGACAGGATTTTTTAAAAAGTAATTACATTTTACTCATGATTGTTTCAAATCCTTGGATCAGGTTGTGGAAGGTGGTGCGTTCATCGTGTTTGAAGATCCAGCACTTCCTCATCAGCTGATCCACCTGGCAGCAGAAACAGGGATATTTTTAAAGGGATGAAACATTTCTTTGGGTTTTCCAGTAAAAGTAGTGGAGCAGAGTCTCCCTGAATGAACACAAACACCTGAGCTGCTGGGCAGGGTCAGCAGGGACCTGGTTCAGGTTGGAACACACACAGCCCTTCCAGCTGGGGGGCTGCACTCCAGAATTGCCAAAATCGGGATTCCCAAGGAATTCTCATGGATCCAGTACTACAGCAAGTCCTTGCTCCCTCTGAAGGGACCCCACGGACTTGGGAATGTTAATATCAAAAACCACCTTAAAACAATACTTGAAAGCCTTGGCAGTGCCTTTTCCCAGCACTCCTGAAGGCTTTCCTACCTGAGTCGTCAGGCCTGTGGAACCAGGGAAGTGTGACCCCTCTGGGGCTGAATCCGTGTCAGGGACAGATGGATGGGCCTTCCTTCCTCCCTCCCTCCCCCATCCATCCATCATCCATCCATCATCCGTCCATCCATCCATCATCCATCCATCATCCGTCCATCCATCCATCATCCATCCATCATCCGTCCATCCATCCATCATCCATCCATCATCCGTCCATCCATCCATCATCCATCCATCATCCGTCCATCCATCCATCATCCATCCATCATCCGTCCATCCATCCATCATCCATCCATCATCCGTCCATCCATCCATCATCCATCCATCATCCGTCCATCCATCCATCATCCATCCATCATCCGTCCATCCATCCATCATCCATCCATCATCCGTCCATCCATCCATCATCCATCCATCATCCGTCCATCCATCCATCATCCATCCATCATCCATCATCCATCCATCCATCCCCCCCCCATCCCTCCCTCACCTCCTCAGGACAGGTGGGTGGCCGTGGCAGCCGCTTGTCGTCCTGCAGGACCCGCACGAGCCGTGCCACCGTCATCTGTCCCTGCGTGGGGCCGATCATCTTCAGGAATTCCTGTGGGGACAGCGGGGTCAGCTGGGAATCCCTCACCCCAACACACGGCCAAGCCCCAGGGTGTTTCCCAGGAGAATCCTGGAGGAAGGTGCTCCCCACGGAAGGGGTGGAACAACAGCAGCATTAAGGTACCCCCCGCCCCAAATGAGCCCGCAATTCTCTGATTGCTCTTCTTGCTGCCAAAAACAATAATAATTTTTTTTTTAAATGATGTGATTGAAGCAGCTCTGGCAGCCATTTCTGCCCCAGCCACTTACTGCCATGGGGCTGGACTCGGAGTCACAGTAGGTGAGGAGCTCGTAGAGCGTCACCCCGAAGGACCACACGTCGGAGGCGATGTAGAACTTGCTCTGCAGCAGACACTCCGGGGCGTACCTGGGGACACGAGGGGACAGCGTCACACCAGGGACCCCGCCCTGCTCACACGCAGCCCGAGCAACTCAAGAGCCACAGCTGCTTCGTGTGGCCTTGCACACAAATTAAAAAGTAAGAAATTAAGATGTGCACGGTGAAACCAAGGAGACCAAACCCAAAGCAGTGGGGAAATGGATCACTACATGCAGGAAGACAAACAGCACAGAAGGGGAGTCCAGTCCACCAGGTGCCTTTTCCTTGCTCTCACGGTGTATCTTTACTCTTACAAAAACATGAACATCTTGGGGAGTGCAGGAGCAGAGGGTCCCTGTCCCCCAGGCTGTACCAGAAGACGGGGCTGTCGCGGTCGTCCTTGACGGTGTAATATTCCTTATCCGTCTCGATGGCCTTGGTGAGCCCAAAGTCCCCAATCTTCACCCTGTTCTCACTCTCCACGAGGACATTTCTCGCTGCCAGGTCACGGTGCACGTACTGACAGGAGCCCAGGTAGTCCATGCCCTAAGAGAGGAGAAAAGAACCCTTTTATTTCCTTTTCCTCTATTCCTCCAATACTTGAATCCCTTTTTCTCCAGTTACTGTTTCACATGGCCTGACCATGCTCTGCACTCTCATCTCCATCCCTTTAGACTTCACCTCCCTCCTGATCCTCCAAATTCTCCCACAGGAACAACTTTTCACAGCAAACTTTGGAACTTGGAACCTCCTCATTATTCCCCTGCTGATCCTTGTGCCACTGGCACCCAAAACGTGGCAGAGATTGCGTTAGGATTCTGGTCCTTGGGGATGGAGAAGAATGGGTTTGCTGCAGATGTTCTCCATCCCCCTCAGCCAGCTGATGGAGCTGCAGGCTCGGGGCTCAGCTCACCTTGCAGATCTGAACTGCATATCTGAGCAGCTGCTTGAGATTGATCTTGTTCTTGTTCCGTGGGAGATACTCCTTCAGGCTCCCAGAGGGAAGGAACTCCATGATGAGCTTAATCCCACTTCCTCCTGAAAAACAGAGCATGTTTGGTTTGCAGACCCTTCTCACATTGTGAACACCAAGAGCTTTTGTAGAAGCCCAGAGCACCAGCAGCATTTTGAACATCCTGTGGCTCATTCCCATCATCCACCCCTGAGCCGATGCACAGGAAAACCTGCTCCAAGCAGGACATTTATAAACTCTAAAGGAAAACCCATACACTTTTTAATATTCTGCAAGATTTACCATCTTCTGTGCAAATCCCCTTGTATTTGACGATGTTGTCGTGATAAAGGTTCCTCAGGATTTCAATTTCCTTCTTGAGGTCAGCGATGTGATTCCCTCCGCTCTCCGGCTTCAGGGATTTCACTGCCACCTGCTCCCCAGTGTTGTCACCTTCTGGGTCATATCTGCACAGCTCCACCTTGCCAAAGTGGCCCTGGGTGGGAGAGAAAGGAGCATCCTTGAGGGCAAAGTTCAGACAGTGACACCCAGGCACTGATTTGGGTGTGTGGGTGACACAGCAGGGGCTGTGGGACAGCCAGGTGCTGATTTGGGTGTGTGGGTGACACAGCAGGGGCTGTGGGACAGCCAGGAGCACTGGCTGTGTTCTGGGGTGACATTCCTCTCACCTCCCCCAGATCCCGGATTCTTTTCAAGAACCTCTTCTCAAAGAGGGTGGGATCCACCTCGGTGACGGGTTTCTTCTCCGAGACGATATCAGGATCTGGGGGGGAAAACATCCCAGGTCTGATTCCTGCGTGGTCTGACACTCCAAGGCATCCTTGCTCCTTTCCCACTGTCCCATCTTTCCCTCCTCAGACCCCACCAGCTTTCTGACAGGGAATTCTCCATCCCCTCGTGCCAGTCTGGATCTGCTCCCACACCCACACCCAGATTTCTCCTGGTGAGCTTCCCACCCTGGAGCAGCTCCTCAGCTTCCAAGAGGTTGGAAGGAGATGTTCTTCAAGGTCCCTCCCAGCCCAGGACTCCATGATCCCTCTCTCCAGGTGCCCCTGGCCTTACTCTGCTCCTCCAGTTTGTTGATGTCCCTCATGATGGCCCTGAAGAAGGGTCTCTGGTGGGGGTCGTAGTTCATGCACTGCTTCATCAGGTCTGCCAGCTCCTTGCAGGACGGCGTGGCCAGCACAAAGTGCCCCTCGTAGAACCTCTCCTTCTGTGGGAACAAACAGACATTCCAGGAATTTTAACATCCATGACTCCCAGTTCTGAGCTGGGCAATGGCTGGACTCGAGGATCTCTGAGGTCTTTTCTAACCTGAGCAGTTCTGGGATTCTACATCACAGGATGTGACCATTAAATCCTTATTTCAGTGTGAGCTTTGCCAAGGAAATTCCCCTTTTCAGCTGGAACTTGGATCTTTAAAAAATTCCTCTTGTGCTGGGTCTGGAGCAACCACTTAACACCCATGAAGTGTTTAAAAGGTGCTGAATTCACTTTCAGGAATCACTTCCTGCCAGGTTTTCCCATTTTTTATGCACCAGGAAGTGTTTGCCAAGGACACCCTGGGTGCTCCTCACAGCCCTGGGAGGTCCCAGCTCCAGGCCAGGTGGGACAAGGCTGGGATGGGCATTCCCAGCCTGCAGGGCTGTGGCCACAGGCAGGAAGGGCACAGCAAGAGGGACTCCAATTCTTTAAAGTGCAGTGAACAGCAGCAGTGTCCCCTGGGAGACCAACAAGAGATGTTTGGGAGAATCTCACTCAGCTTCTAACTGGACACAGGGGTTGGAAAAGGCTGGGAGAACTGGGATTGTCCAGTCTGGAGAGGAGAAGGATCCAGGGAGAGCTCAGGGCATAAAGGGGCTCCAGGAGAGCTGGAGAGGGACTGGGGACAAGGCATGCAGGGACAGGACACAGGGAGAAAACTGAAGGGCCCAAGAGGATGGATCCAAGTTTGTGTAACAGCTTTACCTCTGCTAAGGTCTTGTCTTTCAGTGGAGTTTCTCCATTATAGCAGATTTCCCACAGGGTTGTACCAAAACTCCACTTATCTGCAGCAATGCTGAGGTTTTTGGAATCTTCAACACACTCAGGTGCAATCCAGGGGATGCGCTCAACGCGCTCTGGGGTGAAACAATCAGGGTGAGAACATCACAGGAGGGAAAAACTGAATTATTCTTGTCTGAAATAAACTGGAGCTGCAGAATTTGTCCCGTTTCTTGATTCTCAAATTCCTGTTTTCAGAAGGATCTCACAGGCTCATGCCTGGAGCCATCCACAATCTGAGATTCCTTCTGTCTCACCTCACTGGACACAGTATTTTGTAAGAGAAAAGAATGCTCTCAACACCCCCTGAGTATTTGCAGACCCATGAAAGCTGATTGCTGCTATTGCAGAGCCACTTCTGGCTGCTATAAATGCCACTTCTCCCTTTCCCTGAGGATGTGATCCCGGCCATACCTTGCCTGGAGAGCACTGTGATGGGGATTCCTGGGTCACTCAGCTTTATGAAGGGCCCATACTCGCTATCAATGCCCTCTCTGGCCAGCAGGATGTTCTTGGTGCACACATTGCCATGCACCAAATCCTTGTCCTCCTACAGAAAAGCAGGGAAAGAACAGTGAGAGAGATCTCTGTGAGTGCTCCAGGATATCCACACCACAGGGGATCTCTAAAATATTCTGAGCTGAAATCCAAAATTACACCTGGGAAGAAATTGGAGGAAGAGAAGGAGAGGAGGAGCAGGGAGATAGAGTGTTCCCACTCCAGCACTTTTCCTGGGGGGAAATGTATTCCCAGCTAGGCCCCAGTGCCTTTGCCAAGGTGTCTCTTACCAGGTAGCTCAGGGCACTTGCAAGTTGTTTGGCCACTTTGAATTTCCATGGGGTTGTGAGAACTTCACTTTTCTTATGCATGAACAGATCCAGAGGCCCACATTCAACAAACTCTTCAACCATGATATCTACAGAGGCAGGTGCAGAAAGTCAGAGCTGCAGTGAATTGTTTGGAGTCACTGAATTTGTGTTCCCACCTCCCAGCCCAGACGGTTGGAAATTATTTTATTTCACCTTGCCCAAGGTTTATTCCAGTGCTCAGAGTCCAGATTAAAAGGCTGAGGGGCTTTGTGTGGTAAATGAACATTAAACCTGGAGCAGGCATTCCAAGGGTGGAATTTTAATGCACATAGCAGCTCAGAAAAATCAGCCACAGGCTGCTGTGCTCCCCTGTGCTCTTGCACCAAAATTCCTTCAGCATGGCCCTGTTCAACACCCACATGTAACTCAAATTCCTTTCCTGGGTCTGGGAGAGCTCAGGCTGGGACATTAATTTGTCTTTTCATTTTCTAAAGCTTTGCTCTCCTTCTGGTGCCCACCCCACATTAGGACTGTCTTGGCTTAAAAAGTCATATATAGGTGTATTGTATACATTTACATTTTTTATGTGTATATTTATATTTTACACGTATAAACATATAAATGTCTACATATAAATGTGTACATGCTTTATATGTATAAATATTACAAATATACATTTATTTTATACAAAAGAATGTATATTTGTAATAAATGTAATAAATTTAATCGGGCAAATTTCATGGGGTGCTTTGTATCCACACTGCCCCTGCCTCTGGCCTTCCAGCCTTGGGGAAGGCTCAGTCACAGAGTTGGAAAGGGAAATTTATTGGGAGATTTATTGGGAAATTTATTGGGAGAATTATTTAGAGCTGCTTTGCTGTCCAAACTCCACCCTGGGAAGCACCAGAGGCAGGAGCTGCCAGCCCTGTCCCTGTCCCTGTCCCCCCAGGTGCCATCCCCTGTCCCCCCAGTGCCATCCCCTGTCCCTGTCCCCCCAGGTGCCATCCCCTGTCCCCCCAGTGCCATCCCCTGTCCCTGTCCCCCCAGTGCCATCCCCTGTCCCTGTCCCCCCAGTGCCATCCCCTGTCCCCCCAGTGCCATCCCCTGTCCCTGTCCCCCGCTGGCAGCCGATACTCACTCTCCAGGTCGCGGACGCAGACGCCGTGCAGGAGCACGATGTGTTTGTGGGACACCTGTCTCATCATGCTGGCTGTCTCAAAGAAGGCCTGGGGACAGGGGGACAAGGGACATCAGCAGCGTGCCGTGAGCTCCACCAGCAGAGCAGCACAGAGCAGCCCCCGGCTCAGCACAGCCAGGGCCAGCAGGGCAGGGACGTGCCCCAGGGCTGGGCTGGACCCTCAGCACTTCCCCATTCCCTGCCCTTTTCTAAAAGTCATCCGTGTAGTTAAGCTTTAGTTCTAGCTAGAGAAGGTATTTGACAACAAACCTCGGTGTTTTCTGCATCAAAATAATATTTAAGTCACTTTAGCTTAGTAATTTAACTGTATTAATATAATAACTGAATTCATTTTTAAAGAGAACTTAGAGAATTGTTACTTTGACATAATTTTCCAATTCTCTACTAATTTACAATTTATCAACTGCTGCAGATACTAAGATAACATACAATGCCTTAATACTTGATAATTATCTAATTTCACGTGTGTTATTATGTGTATTATCTAGTTAATTCCTAATTACTATTAGTATCTTCTTTGTTACATATATTATTTTACTCTGATGTTTCTTTATACTTGTAACTGAAAAATGTCAGTAATAACAACTCATGTCATTATCTTACATATCTCTATATAATTTTATAAAACAAAATTAATCAAGATTGTATTTCTTATTAAAGAAAAGATACACAAAAGAAAAAAACTTGCCAAGGAAATGTCTCTGTGGCTGGGGTCCAGGACTTTGAGCAGGACTCGGATCTCTCTCTCGTTCTGATACCCTTCGTTCTCGTCATCCTTGAGGCTGAGCATCCCTGAGTAAATCTGGGTCCTGGTCCCTCTTCCCAGGTGCTCTCCCTGAGACACAGCAGCAGGGATTTGTCAGACAGGAAGCAAACAAGATTTACACGAATATTTATTGGAATCTGCACTTTTTTCTGTCTGTCTGATCTGAAATTGTTCCAGTGAGAAGCCAGTGCCAGGGAGCTGCTTCTGCTTCAGTGAGCTTGATGCCTTGTGCAGGCTGCCCTGGAGCAGAGGCTGGGCAGAGCTCCAGAATAAAGCAGGGATTGATTCAAAGGATCTCCTCCATGGATCCACCTTGGGCAGCACAAGAGCCCAGCCAGGGCTGCCCCCAAGATGAACCCAAATGGTCCCAAAATGCACGAGCGCTCCCGGGGTCTCTCCCTGGGATCAGCTCTGCTCCATGTGCACATTGCAGTTCAGTGTCCAATTCCAGCTCAGCCCCTGCACTCCCATCCTGCTTGTTTTTCTCTCTGCAGCCCACGGGGTTTGTGCTCCTGGCCTGAGATTTGGATCATTTGTCCTTGGTGCCCAGCTGGAGCAGGAATTGTTTTGTGTCCCTGCTCTGTGCACAGAGCTCACCATCCCCTCCTGTGAACCCAGCCCCACACACTAAAGCAGCTCAGAGTCTGAAAATGGAAAACCCAAAACCTGAGGCATCAAGCTCTGAGCATCCTCCCCCTGTGAATTCCTTGGATATTACACCTCCACATCACCCAACAGGTTCCCTGGGATTGAGCTTTCCCAGACTAAACAAAAGAATAAACAACAGCTGGGGCTCTTATTCACAAAGTGCTGCTGAGGTGATCTTTAATGTGTTTCCAAAAGTGAGAGGAAGTAATATTTCACTGGAAGGCTTTGTTTGGGGAAGCAATTTCCTCCAAAATAACATCCTGCCTTGGGATATTTTTGCAGGATGCTGACTGTAAACACACCAACCCAAACCCAATCTCTGTCTGCAGTGACACAACAAAAATACAACCAACACCTTTTTATTTCACAGAAGAAGGCAAGGGCACGATTTAAGAGCTCTTTTGGCAACATTAAATCTGATTTAAGTGTATTCAAGCCCCTGTGTGTTTCTTGAGGTTTATTCAGGTGACCTGAATAAATAACTACAAACATGGGGAAATTTGAAAATTTGAGGAGGCTTAAAGGCAGATTCTGACTGCTCAGGGCTTTTGAATACTTCACCTTTTTTTAGCAGAATATTCCCTTAAACCTCTGTTTCTCTGATAAGTCAGGCTTTAAAAATACACCCACAACAAATCAGCTCTTAAGACTCCCAAGAAATGACCTTAAAACTCCTCTTTTCCATTAGAAAACTTAAATATCAATTCCATTTCCAGTGAAAGGCATCACTCCTGAGCTCTTCTTTGTCCACACAAAGCCATACAAACAGCAGGATTCTGCAAGCAGAGGCTTAAATCCAAATAAAGCTCCAGCTGAAGTTTGCTGAGGGGAGCTGGGAGGGGCAGAGCAGGCAGCAGGGCTGGTTTGGTGTCCCCTGCAGGGCTCAGGGACAGCCACACTCCTGGGGAACAGGCAATTCACGTGGGGGGATTTTGAATGAGTTAGAGATGGGACTCTGGGTCACTTTAGATGATGGGATTTATTTTTCTTATCTTCTGCATAGGCAGCAAGGGTGAGTTGGGCTCACATCTTCACTGCATGGCTCAGAAGGTCACAAGACCTCTAGTGACAATCCTTTTATGGGTTTATTAACCAATAAACCACTGCCAACAAGGATATTTATGCTTTTCACCCAATCCTTACATATTTGGTCTTTTGGACCCATGCTACAGTATCAGCTTTCTTAGTCAATCATTTTATGGCACACAAACCTCCAGTGCTGCATCCTAAACTCCTTGTTACCTTTGTAACTACTTTTATTTTTTCTCTATCTTAAACTCTAAAACTCTAAACTTTCCTTTACTTAGCTTAACAGGTCTCTGCTTTAAATATATACATTTATTTTATAAATCCACATTCTCGCTTCCGGCACCTCAGTCTGGGAGCCTTTCCCAAGGTCTCAGGTCAAATCCAGGGTTTAATTCCAAGCTTTAAATGATAAGGCCCAAGCTCTGGGGGCTCCCTGCATGCCAGCCCCCCCAGGCTCCCACCTGCACGATCTCCTCCTTGCGGATCCGGTGGAAGCTCAGCTGTCCCATGGGATACACTGGCTGCCACTCCTGGGCCTTCTTGGTGGCCACCAGCAGGTTGGAGATTTCTGCAAGGCAAGGGGAGAAAATATCCTTAAAGATGTTCAGAGAAACTGCACTCCACCTTCCCAGTACCCACGTGGATGGAAAGGCATTAAAATCCAAAAAAAAAAGGGAGGGAAAAAGAATCTTGGGTTTGATTTCTTCTCATTCAACAGAGAAATCATTAAAGCACAGTTTCATATTGTAAATACAGAGTTATTATCAGCCAGATCAGGGTGATTTTGAACAACTGAACAGAGTTTTCTGCACAAAGATTGAAAGAGAAAATACCTGTGCTGTACATGGAATAAAATGGAATAAAACATCCCCTCCCCAGGGTGCAAGGGGGAGTCTCATCTCCTCTTCACCTCCTTCCAAACTCCCTCTGCTCTGGGAAGCACCAACAGCGCTCCCAGGGCACTGGAATTCAGCTGGGCAATGGGGAATGAGCAGAAGGAACAGACTCAAAAATCCACTTCCCACTGCTGCAGGGCAGATCCAGAGGTTCTGCACAGGAATTCTGCCTTCCAGGCATTATTTCCTGGGATTGGGATGTGTGTGGCCAGCTGGGCTTCCTCCTGCTGTGAGCAGAAGCAGGCACTGGGGCTAAATCATCATCTGGAATTCTGGAATCACCACACCCTGCTTCAGTCCTGCATCCCCTGCACTTCTTTGTGAATATCTGATTAAATACTCAAAAAGAAGGAAAAACCCACCAGGGAAGGGACAGACCAGGGAACATGCACTGAATCCTGCTGCAGCTAAAGCCAGGGAGAAGCTGAAGTGGGCAATCAACTCCCTGACCCTTTTTGTGTCATTTTATCCCCAACCCAGCCATTAAAATGAAACCAAAATATCAGAAGTGCCACGTGCCCCTGCTCCAGACCATGACCACGCTCTTGGTGCAGTGTGAGCAGCTCAGGGACTCTCCCAAAGCCTCAGAGCAGCAGGTGATTGATGTGGCTCAGTTATTCCCCTGCTAACAGGAAACCATTATCAGCTCTGCACAATCACCCCACTGTGCTTCCTCTCTCACACCAAACTGAGCTGCAAGGCTCTCAGAGTGCAAACAGCTCCAGAGAGTGCTGGCAGCACCCAACAACTGCCCCTTTGTCCCTCACACGGGACCTCACAGATGATTTCCTGCCACCAGGCTCTTCAGGACATCAGTTTTGGGACCAAAACCCTTCCCTGCTGCCTGGTGCAGATGAGTTATTAAACAGCAGCTCACAGTGAGAGCAAACCCAGCAGGTCCCAAACCTCTTTTCTCCTCCTCAAACCTGCCCATGGCATTTGACAAAACTCTTGCTTCCCAGACAAAGAAAAATCTTTAAACCTTTTTTTTTTAAAGAGCTTCACACCAGGATACAGCACTAAAAATACACAAAAAAAATCTGGAGATTGTTCCCTTGCAACAGCAAAACCCTGCAAGGCCAGGCTACCTCTGGGTCTGGGCTGGCAGCACCTCTTCAGGGTGAAGCTGATGTTGTCTGTCCGCAGGATTTGTCCCTTCAGGTGATCCATGAGGTCTTTCAAGGATGCAAAGGATTTGTTGGAGCCATGGAGGAAGTACCCCCCTTTCTTCACCTCGATCTGGAAGTTCTTGTAGGGGCCTGAGTTATTCATCACCTGGGGTTGGAGGGAAAAGAAAGGAAATAGGATCACTGGAGTGAAGGAATTGTTTGTAAAGCCACCAAAGCTTCCCAAAACCTTGGCATCACATGTAGCACCAGCTCAGCCCCTGAGCCTAAGTCAAGGTCCTCTAATCAAACTGCAACAAAGCAGAAAAAACCCTGGAATTCCTGGAATTTTCACTCCCAGGAAAGCTCAAAGAAAACAGCAACAACATAAAGATGCAATCAAAGCCCAAATTATTACTTTCTTTTTTTTTTCCAGAGCCTGAGATTATGCAGAAGTGTTGCTCTTCTGGAGCAATTTTCTCTTTGCTTGGTCAGGAATTGCAGAATCTGGAGCAGGGTTTCAAAATCTCAATTTAAAAATAGCAAAACTGCCTCTCCCACCCCAGACTGTCCAAGGAGATGTCAGGCTGGTGTTGGGATCCTCCAGTTTCACTGGGGAAGGGCTGAACTCCTGAACTTCCCCATCCCAAGAGCTCTCAGGGTCTCCCCTCTGCAGCTTTGGGTCACCTCCCCCTTCCCTCTTTTCCAAGACAAAATTCCTTTCTTGCTTTACTGTTAAAAGAGAGAGCTGATCATATTTTATTTTTTTAATATCTACAAGAGGATAAACCCAGTATCAAATATCCCCTCCTGACTCACCACTGATTCCATGACCATTTTTTGCTAATGAAAGGATTTATGTTATCATTTTTATTATTTATTCTTTATTATGTATTATTTAATTTATTGTTTATAATTATTCTTGTGTGAACACTTTAAATATCCTCCCAAACCACCAAGTCAGCTGCAGGCTTCCAGCTGAGGCCGGTGTGGGAATAAAATCCATCAAGGGAATTAAATCCATGCCCAAAGAGGCTGCAGGGAAGCTGAACCTTGCTCAAGGCAAGGTGAAGTGACAAATCCTCCGTGTCATGAGTTTAAAATGCTTCATTTTTATCATGTTCCTGCACAGTCTGACTGGGAGGAATGGAGCTGTTCTGGATTTAATTAACCCCATTTGGAGAGACAGCACAAACGGCTGGAAAAAAAAGCCAATTCCCTTCCCAGAGCTCAGGGTGAGTGCCCTGAGAACAAAATCCCACCCCCAGGGATTGCAGGGAGCAGATTCCAGCTGGGAATGGCCAGCTGCCTGTACCTCTGAGCCCTCCAGACACGTCACAGTCATCAGGATGTGGTTGAAGTTGGTGCAGCTCCACCTCAGCACGTACATGCCCACCTCGTTGCCCTCCTGCCTCAGCTTGTTGATGGCATATTCCGTGCTGGAAGGGAATGGGCAGTGAGAAAAACCAACCAGGCAGCAGCCAAAAATGTGGTTTTTGAGAGCAAACCTCTGTTTGGGGGGTAGGAGCAACTTAGAAATATTTATGTTATTATTAAAGTAGAATTTGAGAGTGCATTGCTCACGTTGGGCTGCACAGAGTGAGGGAGGGAGGGAATAATAAAGGGAATTCTGCATCCAACACTGCAGGTGAACTCCTGGATTTCTACAGTTTCCCTTGAATAAAGGGAATAAAGAGAAAGAAAAGGAATAAAGGGGAATAAAGGGAACAATAAATAAATAACAATAAAGGGAATAATAAATAAATAACAATAAAGGGAATAATAATAATACAAAATTAATAAATTAAATAAAATAATAAATAAGAATCAAAATTTTCCCAATAAAAGGAAAAGCTACAAAGATGGGTGGAGGGAAGAGAATTCCTTTAGGTGTTTAAAAACCCAAGGCTTTGTTCATCCACCCAGGAACTACTGGGGTGAGTGTGGAGACACTTCCACTCTTTACCTAAAATATTCCCATGTGTCCATGGAGAAAACTCTTGGAACACTCTTTAGTGCAGAAATACCAAGTTCATAGATGATTAAGGAGAGAAACACTGATTTTTTTCTTTAACAAAATGAAGTTTTGGTAACCACCACCCACTCAAACCCCACATTCACTGTGAGAGGAATTATCAAAATCAGACCCCTGAACGGCAACAAGGCAGAAAAAAGCCAAAATTCCTGGAATTTTCACTCCCAGGAAGGCTCAGAGAAAACAGCAACAACAAAGATGCAATCAAAGCCCAAATTATTACTTTCTTTTTTTTTTTTTTTTCCAGAGCCTGAGATTATGCAGAAGTGTTGCTCTTCTGGAGCAATTTTGTCTTTGTTTGGTCAGGAATTGCAGAATCTGGAGCAGGGTTTCAAAATCTCAATTTAAAAATAGCAAAACTGCCTCTCCCACCCCAGACTGTTCAAGGAGATGTCAGGCTGGTGTTGAGATCCTCCAGGCAACTGAGGTTTAAAAACATTCAAAAGTTTTCTCCCAAAACCTTGGCATCACATGTAGCACCAGCTCATTCCTGCTCCTAAGTGAAGGTTCTCTAATTGAATGGCAACAAAGCAGAAAAAAGCCTAAAATTCATGGAATTTTCACTCCCAGGAAGGCTCAAAGAGAAGAGCAGCAACATAAAGATGCAATCACCCAACAAAAAAGGCTTTTTAAAAAAAAGTTTTAAAAGATTTCATTTCATTATCAGTTTCCTTGAAGGGTGAGACATAAGAGATGAAAAACTCTACACCATTCTATCAGAACTTATTTCCTGGTTAGAACACTTTAGAAATGTTTTTATAAATTAGTTGTTACCACACAATGCTGCTAATACTTCTAACACAAATCACTTATATTTTTACCTATATTTAACACCAATCACCTATATTTTTACCTATATTTTTACCTCCATTTAACACCAATCACCTATATTTTTTCCCCACGTGCCCCTGCTACAATGCATCTTCCACAGCTCTAATTCTCTAAAACATTTGGTGTTTTTGCAAGGCCATCTTTTGAAACTTGTTGAAACTTATTTCCAGTTCCATCTCTCTCTCAACAATGTCATCTTTATTCCATGGCATTCCTAAGTCAGCACACTTTATCTCTGTTTGCACACCAAACTACAAAACTGTGTGAGCTTTCTGTCAGGTTTTGAAATCCTTTAAAATCCATTTCCCACATCTTCCCCTGTTTTTTGGACTGTAAAAACTTCTTTGATGGTCTCATTTATCATTGGCTGCACAAGGCACTGTTACTGATACAACATATTAGTAATACACTATATTATAAAATATTTGTGTCAGGACACCAGGAATGCTGGAACATCCCTGGAATGTTGGCATTTAGTGGCCATTCCCTGCCCTCCCTGTCCTGGCTCCACTGTCACAAATTCAGGAATTCCTCATGGGATTTGGGATTTTGAATTTTGAGAAAAATTCTGTGCCAGTGTGGACACAGCTGCACTTTGAACACCATTTTTGCTGTGCCCAGTGTCAAGGCTCCTCCCCTCATCCAAAATTGATGTTATTTGCACTCAAAATGTCCCTCAGTTGTCACCTTGTGCCCAACTCCAACCTGGCTCCCCATGGAGGGGAAAGGATCCAGCAGGGAATTAAATGATCCAGCAAGGAATTAAGTGATCCAGCAGGGAATTAAGTGATCCATCCAGGGAATTAAACCCAGGCTACAGGGAATTGACTGATCCAGCAGGGAATTAAATGATTCAGCAGGGACTCAAGCCCAGGTTCCTCCAAGCTGAGGTGAAGGGACAAATTCTGTGTGTGAATTTCAAATTCAAATTCAGTGTGTGAATTTCAAACTCTGTGTGTGAGTTTCCAATTCAAATTCTGTGTGTGAATTTCAAATTGTGTGTGTGAGTTTCCAATTCAAATTCTGTGTGTGAGATTCCAATTCAAATTGTGTGTGTGAATTTCAAATTTAAATTGTGTGTGTGAGTCTCCAAATTGTGTGTGTGAATTTCAAATTCAAATTCTGTGTGTGAGTTTCAAATTCAAACTCTGTGTGTGAGTTTCCAATTCAAATTCTGTGTGTGAATTTCAAATTCAAATTCAGTGTGTGAATTTCAAACTCAAATTCTGTGTGTGTGAGTTTCCAATTCAAATTGTGTGTGTGAGTTTCAAATTCAAATTCAGTGTGTGAATTTCAAATTCAAATTCTGTGTGTGTGAGTTTCAAATTCAATGTGTGTGTGTGAGTTTCAATTCAAACTGTGTGTGTGAGTTTCCAAATTCTGTGTGTGAGTTTCAAATTCAAACTGTGTGTGTGAGTTTCCAAATTCTGTGTGTGAGTTTCCAATTCAAACTGTGTGTGTGAGTTTCCAAATTCTGTGTGTGAGTTTCCAATTCAACCTGTGTGTGTGAATTTCAAATTCAAATTCTGTGTGTGAATTTCAAATTCAAACTCTGTGTGTGTGAGTCTCCAATTCAACCTGTGTGTGTGGGTTTCCAAATTCTGTGTGTGTTTCAAATTCAAACTGTGTGTGTGGGTTTCCTCACCATCCTCTTGTTGTCCTGCTTGTTGATGCTGACTGTGGCCTCCTTGATGACGACGTGGGTGATCTCAGGGAAGTAGGAGAAGCTGTTCCACGTCTCCCGAAGTTTGTGCTTCTCTTCCTCCTTTTTGCTTTTGCCATCGGATTTTTTCTTCTTCTCTTTCTCTGTCTGGACAGGCTGCAAATGTATTTGGGATAAAAGTTTTAGTTAAAACATGTTTAGCACAGGGGTTTTCACTCTAAACCAAAAATTTATTCTAGAATAATGATATAAATTAATTATTTATTAGTTAGAATTATAGACTGGCATTATTATATAAATTATAAAATTAATACAAATTACAGAAGAATAGAAAATAATTATTCATTAATTAGAATTATAGAATGATTATTATATAAATTATAGAACATAAATTTTAGAGTAAAATTTAGAATATAATGCATTGTAATATATTTACTATAAACCTAAAATTCATTCTAGAATAGTAATACAAACTATTTATTATTAGAAGTAATATAAACTATAGTAATATAAACTATTTATTATTAGAATTATAGGATTCTATAATTAGAATCCTAATTCTATTAGGATTAATAATAGAATAATTATATAAACTATAAAAATAATATAAATTACAGAATAATAATATAAAATACAGAATATGATGTATTCTAATATATTTACTCTAAACCTAAAATTAATTCTAGCATAATGATATAGATTATTAATTAGAATAGAATTATAATATGGATTATGCAATTAATATTTATAGAATAATATTATAGTATATAGAATATAATGTGTTCTAATACATAGAAAAATCTATTTAATTCTGCCTTTATTAATCTATTTAATTAAAATCTATTTAATTAAGCCTTTATTTTCCTGGTAAAAGGGCTGCCCACAGAGGCTGCCCAGTGTCCAGTCTTGGATAAAAGTCCTGAGCCTGCTCTGGTCTCCAAACTAAGCCTAAAAAGGGGGTTGGGCTGGAACCTCCTGAGCTCCTTCCAACCTGGATAATCCTACCAAAGCCCCTCCAATACCAAGGTGCTCCGCAGTGTCTGAAGACCACAACCATCTTCCAGCAGCTGTTATGTCCCAAAACTCCCCTTTAATTCCCATTTCTCGGGGGTACTCACACTTGGCTTGAGCCTCCACTGAATGCCATTGTTCCCTGTCACCATCACTTCATACTTCTCGTTGTCTCCACAGTTGAATTTATTCATCTCATTCTCAGCAGAAATCAGCAGAAACGAGGTCTCAAAGATCTCTGCCCCGTAATATTTGGTCAGGACCTCCATGGTGGATAAATATTTCACCTTCAGGTCCCGAGGGGAGACGCTGTTGTTGCAGATGGTTTTGTTGTTGAACTCCTTCAGGAAATGCTTGAAAACGTTATTGATCCGAATCCTGGTCAAGAAATTCCTCTGCCTGATGGTCCTGTTCAGAGTCTCAGGGATATAATGCTTGTAACTGGGAGGAGAAGCAAGGGATTAAATGAAATTGAATTAAATTAAATTAAATTCCTCCTGGGAGAGCAGCAGAGCCAGCAGGGACAAAGGATGGATCCCAGCTCACCTGATGTCCTTGGGAAGCTCTGGCAGCTTCACGTTTTTCTTGATGGCATCGTGGGAGATGGCCAGGACAGCCATCCCCAGACACTCATTCTCAATCTCATGGACCTCCTGGTCGTTTTTGGGATCTCGGATGGGTGCCAGGCCTTTCACTAGGTCATACTGGCCCTTAACAGAACAAAAAACCCCAAATTACCCAGTTGGTCTTTCCCAGATTTGTCCCTGAGCTAGGAATTGATACCAGGATCCTTGGGCAAGGAGAAGCTGGAACCTCCTCCCATTCTTTTATACATCAGCCCACCAAAAATTCACTTTTTAAAAATTAACTACAGAAATCACCATCCCTGGCCCCTTTTAGTACCTTTAATATTTATTTTCTGCTCCACAAAACCAACTTTGTGCCTCTGCTTTATCCCTGCCCTTCCCATGCAAAGCCTCCATGAGTCTCCTGGATTCATCTCCAAGCCAAGCCTTGCTCTGGGACAGCCTGGAAAGGGTTTGGTTATCAAAGAGCAAAGACATTTCTGTGCCAGGTTCCTTTAATATTTCCTTAGAATTCTCTTTCCTTGTGGTTCTCAGTGTGAAAATCCTGCAGGAATTCTACTCAGGATCAACACTAAATGGGATTTCCTCCCTGCATTCAATCTGCTCTTTGATCAATCTGAATTTTCCCTTTTTTTTGGTGAAACCTGATAGCTTCTCGTTTGAAAAATCCTTTGGAAGGCACAAGAGGAGAGCAAAACTGCAGTGAGGTTATCAATCTTTATCACCACGGGGTTATCAGTAAATGTTTGTCAATCTTTAACACCACCCAGTAACAAAACGTCATTAAAAGGACCCAGCCCTGCCAGATTTCCCTCGGCTGCTGCTCCTCTCCAGCCCCAGCTCTGTGCAAATGCCCCACAAAAGGTGACTGACAGTGTTTAGAAACACAAATAACTCACTGTAGAAGAAAATATCTATAAAAATAAAACCCTGTTTGGGAGAGTTTCTTTACACCTCCTTCATGCAGCAAATCCTCTCCTCTCCACCAGGCAGCAGCAAAAAGAAAACCCTTTCCAATACTAACAGGAATATTTTAGGAGCCTAAGAAGAGGCTTTTAAAGCAGAATCCCACACTTTTTTATGGGACAAAAATCCCATAAAAATTTTATTTACGGGAATACAGCATCAGAGACAATTCCAACCTGTGCAAACATGTACTCCAGGGAATTGGCATCCAGGATGGGGGTCCCCTCTGGGGCCAGCTTCTTGTCATAGGCCTTGGCCCTCCTGGGGGAGTGTCTCCACACCGAGGGCTCGCTCTCGCTGGTCCCGTGCCAGTTGGTGAAATAGTATCTGCCAAAAAAAGTCACAGACGTGAAAAATGTTTTGGGAAAAGCCTCCCTTTCCATAAGAGAATTTGGGTTTTGGAAAGTAAAGCAGTTCAAAGCAAGAATTGGTCAAACTTCTGCCTGAAGGTTAAGTGGTCCACCATTCCAGCACATTCCTGGCCTGAGGAACTGGGGGAAATGATATCATTATTATGAATTATTAGATTGTTTTTCCATTTTTATTTTTTTCAGAGAGATTTGAGGAAAGACAGATTTGGGAATGCTCACCTGGAGAGGAGAAGGTTCCAGGGAGAGCTCAGAGTCCCTGGCAGGGCCTGGAGGGGCTCCAGGAGAGCTGGAGAGGGACTGGGGACAAGGATGGAGGGACAGGACACAGGGAATGGCTGTGAGCTGAATGTGGGTAGATTTAGATATTGGGACATTGGAAAGAAATTCCTGGCTGGCAGGGTGGGCAGGCCCTGGAATAGAATTCCCAGAGCAGCTGTGGCTGCCCCTGGATCCCTGGAAGTGTCCAAGGCCAGGCTGGAGCAGCTTGGGACAGTGGGAGGTGTCCCTGGGATGGGATGGGATGGGATGGGATGGGATGGGATGGGATTTAAGGACCCTCCCAGTCCAAACCAGTTTGGGATTGACATTTATAAAGCCCCAAATCTGCAGTGGTCAAGGCTGGAGTGGCCCAGCCTCAGTGCAGAGTCAGGATCCTCAGCAAAATAAAGTGAATATTTTTAGTTGAGCTCTTCTTAGGCAGGAACTCCAAAACTGAGCCAAAAACTCCTGACCAGAAGCAGAGGATCCTCCAGAACTCCTTGGGCTGAGGCCTGGAGAGCAGAGCAAAGCAAATCCTGCTGAGATGCAGAGGAAATGACTTTGCTTCCCTGTTCTCCTGCAGAAGAGGAGTCAGAATTAATAACTCCAATTCTTGTGTTATTTCCTGAAAATAATCATGGGCAAGGTATTGTGTATTGTTTGGGACTGAGAGGAGACTCTGCTCCTTTTCCTAATTAACTGCTCTCATTAACACAGTGCTGAGGAGCTTCAAAAACAATTGGAGCCCCATTGTTTGAGGGGGGAGCAAATAAAGGAGAATCTTTTCCTTGGAAAGCTGCACGGCTTCCTGGGAGAGATTTTGGGGATTTCACTTCCACAAAGGGAACAGGAACAGGAATTTCCCAATGAGATGGGGAGGGAATTGTGCCCCTGAGCTCAGGGGCAGGACCCAGCCCTCCCTCAGAGCATCTTCCACCATCACTCATCATCATCTTACATATCTCCATGCAATTTTACAAACCAAAATTAATCAATATTTTGTTATATTACATAATATTCTATCTATTATACAATATTTTATTATCTAATGTATTACTTATTATAATATTATATAATATTTTATATGTTGCATTATGTATTATGATAGTCTATAACATTTTATATTACATTACACTATTATATAAAAAAAATCCTCCAATCCCTACAAAAAACATGAGTTTACTTGTATTTTAACAAATACAAAATCTAAGTTAATTTCAATAAAAAATAGAAAACTCTGTCAAGTACAAAAAAACCACTAACCACTCCACAAACAAAAAAAAATCCACACATACAAATATGAATGACACAACAATTACAACCCTTTTATTGCACCCACCTGTATATTCATATAAAATTTATATAATTTGATAAAAAATATAAACTTTGAGTCCCTTTATAAGAATAAAAACTGATAGTACTATAAAAATTTTATTAAATAATAACTTAAAATATAAAATACAATCAAATATATATACAAGAAATAATTTAAAATGTTATCAATACAGTATTCATCATTCAAACAAGAGCAGAGATGTTAAAAATCTAGATATTAAAAATTTTAAATTTTCTCCACTAAGGAACACAAACCCACAAAATACTAGAAAAATACTACACAAACCCACAAAATACTAGAAAAATACTACACAAACCCACAAAATACTATAAAAATACTACAGGAATCCACAAAATACTACAGAAATACTACACAGATACCACAAAAATACTACAGAAAGCCACAAAATACTACAGAAATCCACAAAAATACTACAGAAATAAAAAAAAATACTACAAAAATTCTACACAAGCCCACAAAATCCTACAATCTGCTTCCAAAATCCCTCCAGAAAGGAAGTGGATCCCTTTTCCACAGCAAAAATCAAACCCAGCTATGGAAGAGTTAAATTCTCCTCCCCTGTGAGCAATGACTGCAGGATATTACAAAATCCTGGGGTTTCTCTTTTTTAAAACAAATCAAATAAATAGAACTTGAGGCAAGTGAGAAAACCACAGGGAACTCACAGAGTTTCTGTGAAAAGTCCTTTTAAAACATCACCAAAAGTGCAGCAGCATCTGGCACTGATTTAGGGCAGAGGAGGAGAAATTCACACAGAAAACAAAAAGTTCTCAGCAGAGGGAGGAAAGTCAAAGCCCTACAAACATTTCAGCCCAGTCACATTGTTTTAGAGATATCAGTAAAAAGGACATGGCAAAAGCAAAAATACAAATTATTTAATTTCTGAATTGTCATGTAGAGTTAATCCACTGCTCTACTGAAAAAAAAAAAAACTTAAATTAAAAAAAAATTAAAATTAAAAAAAATTAAAAATTCATTTCTGAATTATCATGTACAGTTAATGCACTGATCTATTAAAAAACTTAAAATTAAAAATGAAAAATTTAATTTTTTAAAAAATTCATTTCTGAATGATCATGTACAGTTACTCCACTGCTGTATTAAAAAAAAAAAAAATTAAAATATTTTTAAATTTATTTTTTAAAATAATTCATTTCTGAATTATCATGTACAGTTAATCCACTGCTCTGGAACACTTCAAATTCATCCATAAAAGCACTGACACAAATGGTTTGGAGCCAATTTTCCAATTAACTGTGACCTTGCTCACTCCCAGCTTTGTGAAAACAACTTCTTGTGCTTTTCCAGCTTTTTTTTTTCCAGGTTAAACCCCAAAGATGCAAAGAAATCAGGAGATATTTGAAGCTCCTGCTGCTCATCTCTCCTCTAAGCTGTGCTGCTTTTGGTTTTGCCTCCCTGCTTCTCCAGGGAGCTCAGCAAACAATAAATCTCATTTTGCAGGTGTTTTCTCTTACCTCATGCGATAATGGAGCCTGAAGGATGATTTTTCCTCCACCTTGAAGACCTGGTTTGGTGCATACCAGAGCTTTTTGTTCTCATCATACAGAGCAAAGAGGTTGTGGCACAGAGGGGACACAGCTGGCACAAAAATACACAAATGGATGAATCACAAAGCTCCAGCGCACATCCACACCCCAAAACACAAAAGCATAAAGCAAATATTGGATCATGAAAAGAAACTGATACTGGGATTAGCTTGAAACAAATATTAGGGAGGAAAGGTTGAGGTGGAGCTGTCACCTTGGTTCAACCCAGGGGGTTTGGGGTGGATTAAACAGATATTTCTGGTGTTAAAGTGATCCTCAAATCCTGATTCTGCCCAAGGTCTGAGCTTCAAAGAAATTACTTAAAACCTTCATTCTGTCCAGGTCACAGAAAAGGGAGTTTTACCAAACCCACAACTTTGTTCTCAGCTTTATTTTGTTAATAAATTCAACCCCCAGAGGTGAAAGGAGGTTTTGGCAAACAAGCAGAAAGCTTTGCTGGCTCCACAGAGAAAGACCCCAGAGAAAGCTTTGGTCTGTTCCAGCTAAGAGCAGACTGTGGCATTAATGGGCTGATCTGCTTTAACCCTGCATTTACTCCATCCCACATCTGTTTGGGAGAGATGTTTACTCCATCCCAGACCTGCTGGAATTCCTTGTCCCAGCTCTGGGAGCAGCTGCACCATCTGTGGGTTCACAGCTCCCAAAAGAAGATGCTGCACACCAGCATAAATAGGTGGGTGTTAAACACCCCTCATTGTGCTGAAATCTCTTAATAAAACAACAGCAGCACTCATTTGTGAGGTTTGTCCTGCAGATTTCCATAATTTCACCCATTTCCATGGAAGAGCAGCAATTAGGCAAATGAGCTGAAGGGGATTACAAGAATCCAGGGGAAGTGGGCAAAGAAAACATTTGAGAGCTGCAGGAAAATTCCTGCCCAGTTCCCCTGTTCACACTCCACAGCAGCTGGACAAGGTTTGGTGCTCCATGGGAAAAGAACCTCAGAAGTGTAAATACAAAAGCCCACTGGGCTGTGAGATCAAGCAGATATTAAATCCACTTTTTCTGTGGAATTACAGGTGTTTTGCTGAGCCCCAGCCCAGAGGGAAGAGCACAGCACAGCCTCTGACACGTGAGGGATGCACACGAAGCCGAAGCAGCTTTGTGGGGATTTATTGGGACAGGGAGGCTCCTCCTCTGACTGACACACAGAGGATGCCTCACTTTGGCTGCTGCCAGGCCCCTGGGAGCTGAAATAACCCCAAATACTCACAACACTTCTGGGCAGCCTCAATGCACAGCTCCTCCGAGGTGAACTCGCCGCTGGAGTAATAGATGGGGGCTTTGTCCTGAAGGTAGAAGAGGATTTCCAGCCCCTGGTGCTGAGCTTCCAGGTTGAGCTCGTTTTTCTTGGTGCTCCTCATTTTTGCACAGAAAGCCATGGCTTTGCAATCTTCTTTTACGTTGAGATACTGGGAGTGCAGGGAAAAGAGCAAAGGGAAACGTGAGGGGAGTTGGGATTGTCAGGACACAAATCCAGGACACAAACCCTCAGGTGGGGATTTATCCCAAACCAACGAGGTCAAAAGGGGAAAAAAGAAATGGCAGTGATTATTCTGGTTCTGGGAACTCTGCCCCAAATCACTCCCTCCTCTTCTAGTGGTGCCACAGCTTTCCTGCAAGGTTTCTCTTCTCAAAGCAGAAATAACTTTCACATCCTTCAGCACCTCGTTGGCTGAAAAACAACACTTGAGCCTGAGCGATTTAAACAGCTCACTTGATGTTTCCTTTTTTAAAAAGTCAGCTTCTATTTTTACAGCCCCTTAACAGCAAAATATTTCTCATTGTTTTCTCCCCTCTCACCCTTTGTGTTTGAAACTGCTGATGGTTTATGAGTCATGATGTATTTTATAAGATTTATTGGCATTTATTTTTTATTACTACTTCTCTGTCTCTCCAGGAGAACAGCACTGAGTAGGTTTAATGCAAGAGCTTTTAGATTGCCAAGGATGCACAACAGGGCAGCTCTGACTCAAAAGAAAATTGCATTTTATACCCAGTACTGAAATAGAAATAGCAGAAAGTTATTTGAGTTATCTGGGCTCCTTGTTCCATGTTTTTCTAAGCTTTAAAAAGCCCAAATCAACAATTTTATAGTTTATGAAATTAATCCTCCCACCGAAAAAAAAAACAATAAAATATGAATCCCCAAAGCAAACACACCTGCATTTATGTGCCTGTGGGATCCTCTACACGACTGAAATGGGTCTTCACTCTCCCCAGGAGAAGCTTCACTCTGACTGAAAAAAAAAGGAAAAATAAATATTATCAGCTGGAGGCACAAGTGAAATGGTCAGGCTGATAACATTCCACCTGCAATCCCAGGGAACAGAGATTATTATTATTATTATTATTATTATTATTATTATTATTATTATTAGTAACAGAGATCTGGATCTGATCTCAGCCAAGCCAGTCCCAGGAACCACCCAGGAGTTTGGGCACATCCACTGATCCCTTCTGACACTTTGGGGGCACTGCCTGGGATGCAGCCAAAAGCCAGGAAAACCTTGGTTATTCCCTGGATTTCCCCCTATTTTCAGTCTGGAATTGTTCTCATCACAAGCCTCAGCTGTGACACCACAGGGACGTTTTCCTCTGTGCCTCACCTCCTCCATGCCTCCATTCCTCACATTTTTCATTAGATATTAATTCCAATTCTTCCCTGCTCTCTTGTTTTTCCTTCACCTCCCAGATTATCATTTAAAATGTGTTCAAACAAAACCTGGCAGTGCTGCTGGTTTGGGAAACCTCACCCATCACTCATCTGAGGCTGAACATTCCTCCACTTCCAGCCTCCATCCCTCCTTTTTCCCTCCTCCCCATCCCTGCCAAAATGTGTTTCAAAAAATGTCTTTCAAATAAATAATAAAAAAATTATTTTTGCTTCACCAGTGTGAGTTAATCTGACCTAGCAGACTTCAGCAAATATTGCTTTAAAAGCCTGAGGCTTAGTCTGGGAAAAGTCAGACAGAGCCACACAACTTCCCTGGTGCTTGGGAAGAGCCCAGCAACCCAGAAAAAAAAATTATATTGAAGAGCCTGGCACACATTCCCAACTAAACTGCATTTTTCTGCCATCCCTGCCACTTGAATGCTGAATTTGAGGTTCCAGACACAATCTCTTGGCAATAATATGGGGAAGAAGTAATTGAGAGTGTGATTTTTGGGATATGCACACAAGCCAGGAATTATTTCTGCACAGCACCATAAAATTGAAATGCAAAAGGTGAAATATATTAACTTGAATCTCATTAAAACCCCCTGTTAAATTACATATAACTGAAGCTCAATATATTTTAATGTGTGTGTGGGCCTAATGTTAAAAAGATTGCCCAGATGTTTTAAAATGTGAGGGGGAATATAAAACCACTGCATTTCACAGATTCATAAATCAAACTTCTTGTTTTTCAACACAGCAGCTTTGCTTTGGTTAAAAGCTCCTACTCTTGGTTTTAGTCACAGCAATTCCCAGAATCCTAAAAACCTTTAAGTGCTGCTTCATTTACAAAACCTTCTGGGTTTGTACCAAACAACCCACCAATCCATGATTTATTATTTCCTAATGGGTTTCCCAGACATTCCCCTGCTCATTGTCAGGGATTCACCTTTTAAAAATGCATTTTTATCCTCCAAAAAGGCTCCTTTGAGCCAGACAAATTCCTGCTCTGTCTGAGCATCCTTCTCCACACCTACACAGCCAAATGCTTCCTCTCTGAAAAAGTGATTTTTATCCTTTGCCACAGTCTCAGAGCTTCACAAATTGTTATTTGTGTATTTTTTGGTCTTTTCTCTACTCCAAGGATGTCAGGGATGTGCTCAGCCCCTGCTGCATTTGCTTTTTTCAGGCATATTTTAATTTCACTTAGTTTCTGTTTTTTCCAGTGGAAGCAGCTCTTTCTGATGCACCCTCCAAAATATTTTTGGGAATGCAGGATGGCTTTTCTTGAGATCCCACTCCCCCAGTAAAGGCTTTTCCTGCTTATTTAAAATCCTGACCCACCCATGGCTGGCCAAGGGAAGCCAGGTGAGGAATTCTTTCCCTCACACACAGACAGAGCCCTCAAAAACTTCTGGTATCACAAAGAATTATAAAATAGGGGGAGGGAAGTCTAAAGGTGGCTTGTTAATCAGTTTGGCCACTAACATTAGGATATTTGGGAGATAATCATATTTGGTAAAAACTCAAGTTCCTGGCTATGATTTGCTACATTTGAAAACCAGCAGCTACAGCATTTTTAAGGAAAAAAACAAATGTACAACAGTATTTGTTAAACAACCTCCTTAGACTCGTGCATGCCTCAAAAACTAAGGAAAGGCAGATGCAGAAATTAAATACTTTTGAAACTCTGTGCAAATCTTCCTTGAACCAGAAGGATGCTGCTCCACCATAAACCAGGATCCTGGAAGACAAATGCAAAGATGGAAGGTCCTTTGCAGGGCAAAAGTCCCTAAAATACGAATACAGGAAAATCCCAGCTAAAGTCTGACCAAGCCAAAACTCAGTCTGAAGAATCATTTGCAAGTTCTTCCTCTTTTTTGCCCCCTCAGTCAATCTAGTTTCAGGTTTCCTAACCTCTTAGAGACTGAAAATTTAGATACGTGAGCACATGCTATTTATTTTCCACAGGATTCTCATCAAATGTACATTTTATTTGTTTTAATTATTTATAATTTAGATACGTGAGCACATGCTATTTATTTTCCACAGGATTCTCTCACCAAATGTACATTTTATTTGTTTCAATTATTTACTACTGTGTTTATTCTATGCTTTTATTCAGAGTGATCTCACCAGACACTGTTTACCTCAAACCAGAATTAATAATTCCCCTTGGGTTTTTCAGTGCAATCCATGCTGTGATATGGCTGATCCACGCTGTAAAATTGTGTTTTAAAACAGGGCCAGGAGGGCACAGAATGGAAATTTTCACCAGAAGCGGTCGATGCGCAGCAAAGTTCTCCAGAACTGAAAACCAGCCAGCTTCATTAGCAGCATGCTAATATTAACAGCTATTAAATATTTCCATTTTTAGCTCTCCAGCTCTGAAAAGCAGAGGAGGCCAGGTCCTGGTGTGTCTTGAGTGCTTCCCAAACCCAGCCATGCCCTGCTGCCCCTGAGGACTGCCCCTGAATTTCAGGAGATGTCACCAGTGTGGGAAGAGGTTTGTCAGCCCTCTCAGAGAGCTGGGCATTCATTTCCCACCTTTATTGTTCTGCCTGCAATGGCTGGGGTAGATGCAGGAGCACACAAACACAAAATCCCATTTTTTTTTCTCTATTACCTGCCCTTTCCAGCCTGGTTTTCCTTTGGATACAGATTAGGCTGCTATAATGACCAATTTTTCATGGTTGGTTGGGTTGGAAGTGACCTTTAAAGGTCACAACCCCTCTGCAATGAGCAGGGGCACCTTCAACTATGTTTTTATAGTTTCTCTTTCATTCCCAATTTCTGGTATAATAACTTTAAATGATACAATTCTTGGGGTTTACAACCAATTATTCTGTCTTTGTACAGTCAACCCTAAGCACTTCCATACAAAACCAGGATCAGCTTCCCTGGAGGCAAAGAAAGCCTTAAGAAATCTTCACGGAAACCTTCCAACAACAACCTGATTTTTCTGTAATGAAGTTTTAATTAGAGAATTAATTTAATTTTAATACGTTTTTCCTCACAACTATCTAAAAAACAGCTCTATTGCTCAGGCTGATGCTCACAGGGCTGAAGGGGCATTCCAATGTTAAAGTGATTTACACGGACAATTTGTTTTTATTCCTGCCTGGGACACGGCAATAATGATCCTTTTCCTTCCTTGATGTTCTCCTCTCTGATCCCCGTGCCCAGGCAGCTTGGGGCTGGAAGATGGGATGGGAATTCTCTGGAGAAGAGCCACGGCACCTTCCCAGCAGCGGCGGAGCTCGGGAAGCGCGGCCTCTTCCCGCTGGCACGGCGCTGATTTCCTGAGGGGCATTTCAGAGCCGTGCAAAAGCTTCCAGGGAAAGCATCCTGGCTAACACCTCGGGGGTCTCAGGAGAAAGTGTTAAGGGTTGTGAAGAGCTTGTTCCTGAGGGCTGACGTGGCGGTGACCTCAGCAGGTCACTCGGCAGGATGTGGCAGCGCTCCGGATGAAAGTTCAAACTTCCATGGGAGTGAATTTAATGGGAATGAGGAGCTGAGAGCGAGGAGGGCTCACGCACAGCAGCTCTGCTCACACGCTGCAACAGCTCCAGAGCTTCAGGGCAGCACACACCCAGCAGGAGTGGATCCAGGGAATGGCTCTGCCTTCTCCAAGAGAGGAGAACACACTGCAGGCATGGTGCAGATCCATGGAATGGGAAGAATGGAAAAGAACAGGGAATGGAAGAAAACCCACACCAACAGGAGCCATTCCTCTGCTGGCTGAGAGACCAGAGCAGCCAACATCATCACACAGCTGGACACTGAGACACTGCAGAGAGGGGACAAGGAGGCTGGAGAGGGGCTGGGAACACAAACCCTGTCAGGAAGCACTGAGGGAGCTGGGGGTGCTCACCTGGAGAAAAGGAGACTCAGGGGTGCCCTCCTCACTCTGCACAGCTCTGAAAGGTGCCTGTGCTCAGCTGGGGCTGGGCTCTTTCTCCAGCACCACTGACACAACCAGAGCACACAGCCTGCAGCTGCACCAAGGGAAATTCAGGCTGGATATCAGGAAAAAGTATTTTCCAGAAAGGGTGATAAAGTTCTGGAATGGCTGCCCGGGGAGGTGCTGCAGTCCCCATCCCTGGGTGTGTTTAACAAAGCCTGGATGTGGTACTGGGGGTCAGGGTTGAGTTGGGGTGCTGGGGCTGGGCTGGACTCCATGATCTTGGAGGTCTCTTCCAGCCCAGTGATTCTGTGAATTCTGTGAACTGACCCTGTGTGGACACAGGGCCAGGGCAGGGCTGGAGCACCTTTCCAGAGTAGCAAAAGCCACCAGGAAGGAGGTGAAGCAGTCTCATTGTTCACACCTTCCACATGCAGGTCTGTAACTGGAGAAATCCTCTCCTCTTTAACCAGGAAGGAGCAAGAGAGGTCACCTCATCCTGTTCTCCTGAGCCTCAAGATCTCCGAGATCCCACCACACTGAAATGATGGATGAAGAAACCTCTGGGGACTTGTTATGCATCTGCAGGATCTCAGAGCTCCAAGTTCTCCTAAAAGCCAAGATTTAATAAGCCAGAGTCCATCTCACCTCACCTATTCATTGAACAGAATTCATTT